TTTGGTGGAACCGGGGATTGAACTCAAGCCCTTGTGCTTGCCAGGGAAGCACTTATTCCACTAAGCCATCTTCCCAGCCCCATTTTTATTTATTTTATTAGTCTGTTATATAAAGCTCTAAAGAATTTGAGTTTTATACATTTGTTTGTTTTTGCGGTACCAAGAATTGAGCTCAGGACCTCGTGATTTCCAGGCAAGCGCTTGTTCTACAGAGCTATCTCCCCAGGCCCCTAAAGTACATTAACCCACTCTCCCTTTTTCTTTTTGTGGTACCAGGGATTGAACTCAGGACTTTGCACTTGTCAGGCATGCATTTATTCTACTGAGCTGTCTCCCCAGCCCTGGAGAATTTAGGTTTTAAAAAATTTTTCCCCAGTTCCACCAAAATAAATAAATAAATAAATAATCGATCAATCTTTTTAGTAATAAAATTTCTTGTATCCTGATATATGATGAATGTATAAATTTTTAAAAATCTTTTATTTATTTATTTGGTACAGGGCCTTGCTATTCAGTTTGGACCCATAGTGATCCTCCTGTCTCAGCTTCTCTAGTGCTGGGAATATAGGAGTGTGCCACCACACCCAGTTTCAGTAGCCAGCATATAGTACTGGGGATCAAATTTAGGTCCTTGTGCTTGCCAGGCAGGTGCTTAGACTGTGAACTGTCTCCCCAGCCCAAATATATTAATTTTATTTATTTATTTATTTATTTTTAACATTTATTTATTTAGTGTGTGTGTGTGTGTGTGTGTGTATGTGTGTGTGTGTATGTGGCCAGCTCAGTCCACCAGGGGGCGGGGCTGACTGGCATGCCGTGCTGAGAGATCGAACCATGGGCCCTGTGCTTTGCAAAGCTTGTTCCAAGTAGGTGCTTTAGACCACTGAGCCATCTCACCAGCCCCCAAATATATTAATTTTAAATGAATGAAATTATGAGTTCCCTTTGATTAGTTAATGTCTTATAAGTTTGGAATACTTAGTTTTTTGGGCTTTTGATTTTTTAATGTAAGTATTACATGTATGGAAGAATGAACACATGTGTACGTGTGATTTGTATAAGTAGGTGAATTGATCCTTAAAATCTTGTAATCTTATGTTGTTTGTTGATATAGAACATAATTCTTTTTATTTTAGACTGCCTAGATCATTTCAATAAGTTATTTACCTTTGCCAATGAGAATTCTTCATAGTTTAGAGATGTAGTCAGATAAGTTTGATTTAAAAAACATTTTTTAAAATTTTATTAAGTTTATTGCCACATTTTTGGTATACATAATCACATTCATTCTATATAATTTGTGCCTATATATGACATTACTTTTTTTTCCTGTTCCCCCACTTACCCTTTTTTCCATTCCTGTTCCCCTCCTTATTAACAAAAGCCTTGTAACTGTTTTTTCCTGCTTTTCTCATTTTTTTCTTTTTCCTTCCTTTCTTCCCTCTTTCCCCTCCCAAGTCTCCCTTCCCATTTGAACTATTTCTTCCTATTTCACAAAATTTACTTTACATTTTGGTCCTTATTTACACTTTTAATTTCTCACCCCAGAAAAACAATGTAATATTTGCATATGGGTACAACTTATCTCACTTCAGAGTATGGTCTCAAGGTGCACCCTTTTAACTAGAAATGTCTTGAGTTTATCCTTCTTTATGGCAGAGAGTACGCCATTGCCAAAAAAAAATTCCGTATTTTTTTTTATCCATTCATCACTTAATGGGCATTTGGCTTGTTAGATTTAGCTTTTACAAACTGTGACTCTAGAGCCCTATTTATAGTATTGATCATTTTAATTTTAGTTTAGTGTGTAGTGAAAGATATGGATCCAGATTTAATCTTAAGTATATGGAAAGCCAGTTTCTAGCACCATTTATTAAAGAGGCACAAGTAGAAAGAACAAATAAATTTATGAAAAAATTTTCAATATCCATTGATCATTTGAGAGGTACAGATGAAAACAATGTTGAGAGTGTCTCACTCCAGAAAGAATGGCTGTCATCAAGCAGTCAACTAATAAGCAGTCAACCAATGCTGGTGGGCACTAGGTAAAAAAGGAGCCCTTCTCCACTGTTGGTAGCATTTAGACAGGTACTACCTCTATGAAAATCGGGGTGAAGATTCCTAACAATACTAGGATAGGAGTTCTATTCATTATTCTTCTTGGTGTCTTCCTGAAAAGAATTAAAAGCATTATACCACAGTGATAAGTTTAAAGTTTAGTAATGTATAATTTAAGATATATGATAGTTAAATAAGCAAAAGAACACTAAACATTTCCCGTTCAGTTTTTTATTTTTAAATTATCACTGTTTCATATTTTCCCTGCTTTGTGATCACTGGCAATGCTAAGCATTATGTCAGTTTAATTGATAATTTCGGAATGAAACAGGAGGCTTTCACAACAGATGACAATGTACCTATGAACCTAAAACATTTAAATATGAAACTTCACAATTTAAATGCTTCATAAATTATTTAAGTTAATGTAATTTAATTCTTTTCTATTTTAGAAAATGGAAGTGTTGTCCAAGTTGGTGAATTGTTGCCTTGCAAGATTTGTGGAAGAACATTCTTTCCAGTAGCGTTAGTGAGTACACTGATTCCGAGCCTTCCTTTGGAGTTTAATAGTAATTGTGTACTACTTCACAATAGCTGTCATGAGAAGCACTTTTAAAGAAGAATAATTCTTTAAAAGGTACAGGAGAGGGCCAGAGAGATAGCTCAACAGTCTAAACGCCTGCCTGGCAAGTGCAGGGATCTAGGTTTGATCCCTGGCACCACACGCTATGCCAGCCCCGTCCTGGGTGTGCCAAGCCAGATGGGGTGTGGTCACGCAACCTGTAATCCCAGCGTTGAGGAGGCTGAAACAGCAGGATTACTATGAGTCTGAGCTGTGTAGTGAGACCCTATACCAAATACATAAATTTAAAAATAAATAAATAAACATTACAGAGTAGTGTTTTTGTTCAAGAATCTTTGGTACCATCTGTGTCATTTCTCCAGTGGTCTCTTTCTTTCAGAGTTTGGTCCTCCAAACTTCTCTATTTAAGTGCTAAATTTTTCCTAGCATGGTGGGAACATTACAAAGATGAAACAAAATATACTTACATCTACATAATGATGGCTTTACAAATACAGAAGTTATAATATATTGTCTAGGATTTTAAAGTACTTCATAGAAAGTGCAGGGATAGAAGAAACAAAATTGCTAAAATGCTGGTAACTGTTGAACCACGGTGAGAAGTAAGTGGGAGTTCAATTTACTATTGGTTCCTCTGTGTGTTTGAAGTATTTCAAAGAAAAAGTTTCTTTCCAATATAAAATTGAATCTCAAATATATTATTCCTTAGATACTTCTAGGTATATAGTATATATAAACATTCCTATTTTAAATGACAGCAAAATAGGAATAAAAATTATATACCTTATATACCTTAAACATTTTAAATTTATATTTAAAAATACCATTTTACTACTTTGCTGAGTAGTATTTTTAAAATATAGAATTGCTGATTAGAGTTTTGGCACAATCTACTATGTACCATCTTAACTATTTCCACTTTGTTTCTTTAAGTGAAAGTGATCCAGAGTGTTATACCTGCTTTAGAAGCATCTCTTCCCTTCCCTACCCTCAGAGTTCTTTTTCTTTTTAATTCAAAGGATTTTGAAAACATTGACCTGAATTTTCATGATAAGCCATTTCATTTTTTAAAAATCTAGTATTTAATTAAATCGTACTGTTGTAAGTACAGTTATTATGATCAAGTTTGGAAATAGACACCACATACACCTGACTTACATAATTAAATTTATGAGAGTAGACAAAAATAGTTTACAAGAAAGTCACCTACTTGCTCATTTTATTTCATGCTTTAGAGCTATGATGCTTGTTTCACAACTGAATCTGAAAACCAGTGTATATGACAGTTGACTACTAATTACATAAGGAAAGCCTAAGTCTCCTTGACACCAGATAAACCGATGCTGTGATTTCATTTCTTTACTGATAAAGTTTATTTATATTTATTTATTTATGTATTTATTTATTTAGTGGAACCAGGGATTGAACTCAGAACCATGCGCTTGCCAGGCAAGCACTTATTCCACTGAGCTATCTCCCCGGTCCCTTATAACTACTGATAAAGTTTAATGTTCTGAATACTTTAGCATTTATGAGAATACCAAAGAAAACTGCATTTAGTCCAGTGTCATCAGTCAGCATGTTTTATATGTTAGAAAATCTTTTTTTGTTGTTCAGTTAAATAGAAGTTAGTTAATAACCCTTCCACTGTATTGGCCTTAAAATGAATAAATGAATCAGCAACTATTAAAAAAGAAAGCCTGTGGTGATGGATCATTAGATAGCTGAAGAAATATCCCAGGTGAAAAAAGTAGAGACTTTTGAATCTAAAAAGTGAAGGGCACAAATCTAACAACTTTGTCCTATTACTTTTTGTTAACTTTATGGTAACCTACTGTTATCCAGATGACTCCTACTGTGTCATCTGTAGTAATCCAGATGACTCCTACTGTGTGTGCTTTTATAAACCTGATGCTAATGCAGTCTTCACTTTACTACTTTTCCTAGCCTCTATTTAGTGAAGATGTCTTCATAGTCAAGAAAGTTTGGCTATGGTATTTGCCTTACTCTTTGTAATGTAGATGATTGAATGGCATGAAATAACTATTAGTAGCAGCTTTGCATAATGTTCTTCTATAATTTCTTGTTGTGAGAAAGGCAACATAGGTGTTTTAAAACTTCAGACAAGGTGCATCTTGTTTATTTATTTTATTTTTAGATTTTAAAACTGGGCTTAAATTTTTAAACTTGTATCAATTTAAAAAAGTTTAAAAGACTTCTGTAAAAAGAAAATAATATGTTGTATTTCTTTAATAGAAAAAACATGGACCCATTTGTCAGAAAACTGCCACCAAAAAGCGAAAGACTTTTGATTCAAGCAGACAAAGAGCAGAAGGAACTGATATTCCAACAGTAAAACCTCTTAAACCTAGGGTAACTATGTATCCTTCTCACCACCTTTTCACCCATGTGATTTTTGCTGTTATATATACCAAAAAAAGAAGTATCTGTTATGTTAAGACTAAAGAAATAAGATTCTGTTATGTATTCCATTTAAAAGTGAGCAGAAACTTAAAATTTTTATTTTAATTGCAATTTTAAACTACAAAGGAAAAGACCAAAATATTGTATCTCAAACTTCATCAATTACAGTGAGATTTTTGTACTTTAAAGAATATGTTGCTTACCTACAGACTGGAAATAATCAGAACAAATATCTTTTTAAGTCATTATTAATTGATTCAAATAAAATTTAAGATTTGAGCTAATACTATTTTACCAGTCTATAGTATCCTTATATAGAAAGTAAAGCTGTTATTTATAGATGTCTTAACATAACAAGTATAGATTGTCTTGATTAATTAATTGCCAGTATTTGTAATCTATATTATGCTTTTTGGGTATAAGTTTTACCAATTGTTCAGTTGTCACATGTAACTGTCATCAGATTATTTTCTTTTTTGGAACCAAAGCCTATGGTAATTCTACTAAGTATCTCATATAGGATATTGCTAAGAGTAAATTGCTTTAATAGTTTCAGATAGTGTGATGAGACCATGTCAGGAAGTTGGTAAAGCTGAAGTGCCTGGATAGGTTTGAGACAACCTGCTTTCTGTGCTAAACCTCTTCCAATAAGTAGCACAAGTAGAATGTTTTCCTTCTCTAATAGAAATTAATTTTCCTAATGAAATTGTTTGACAGTTGGAAAATCAGATGTTCGTTTTAGTCTGTGAATATTTATGGATGGTATATACCTTGACTAAGGTATATAAACTAATACTTGAAGCTTTTCTTAGTAGTCTGCCAGATATATGGATGTAATAACTTTGATTGATACACTAGCTAAAATCTTTGGAGGCAGTAAAACTTTGTGGACGTGAAAACAGGCTTAAGAGTCAAGCTGCCTGGATGTTATTTTGGGCAACTATACTTAATTTATACTTCTCTTAATCTGTGCAATGAGAGTATTTATCTGTTGGGGTTATGGTGAGGATTACATAACATCTGTGACACTTTTAATTGTTATGTATTTCTTTTAAGAGGGAGGAAGCTATACTTCATAATCTTCAGACCAAAATAAAGTGAATAATAATACTTGACATTAAAAAAGTAGTACTTTAAATAGCATTAAATAGTTTATTTCTTTTCTTTTTAAAGTATTATGCATACTCAGTAATGGCATACCACTTAGAAAACTTGTTGAAAAATCCAGAATCTTAAGTCTCTCAAAAAATACACTGAGTTAGAATCTGATGTCAAAATCTTTGAGTGAGAGACATTAAAGTTTGAGAAGCATTGTTCTGGAAGACTGGAACATTGTAATGTAGCTTCAACACATTTACTTTATCAAGCAAATCCTACAACATCATAATCATAGTAAGGATAGAACAACTATACAAATTCCATTTTTGGAAAAACTAAAGGTAGCTCTATCCTACAGTGTACTAAATATATTTAAAGGCTGCATAAAGCACTTGAGTTCTAGCTTTAGCTACCCATAAGAGAAAATGCAGGATGTTTCTGAGGAGTCCTGTGGCACATATTATGGGAGTCTACCACATTAAAGCTGAGCAGTCTCTTCATCTAAGAGTGATTCCTTAAAGGGGGAAAATCTTGTCAGAATGAATATATCTTTCTGTTAACTACAGCCAAGGCAGGAACTGAAACACTGTACAAACTTGGAGAGCCAGAATCTGGAATGAACAGAGTTGAACTTGTATAGAAGGAAGGAGAAAGTAGGAAAAGCAAAAAGAGAGACTAGAGCAGGCCCTGTGACAGAAGTTCTCAGAAACCTTTCTGAGAATGAGAGGCTTAATCTAAAGGTTCCTGTCCCAGTCCATTTTTGTTGTTGTTGTTGTTGTTTTTTAATGGTCGCAGAAACTGAGGCAAGGCTGGCAGCGGTAGCCCTCCAGGACCTGGATTGCTATAGAGAAGTAGGAGAGACAATTGCGTGTAATTGGAGAAAGAAGCCTTATTTACAGAAAGTAGTCTGTATTTGTGTGTAACTGGAAGACTTCCCAGGAGTTCTCTTCCCCAAAATCTGTTTTAAGTAGCTGTACTAGGAAAACCTAACTTACTCACTTATGGGCAATAGGAAAACTGTTAGCTCACACTGATACAAAGATACTATGAGGAAAAAAATTTGAAGAGCAGCAGGACTTCCCAGTAGGTGAGTAATGGGCTTCATGGAACAGATGACTGTTGTTTCACTTAAGAGTTTTGCATCTAGATTTGTGAGAGAAATGGGTTTGTAATTTTTCTTTTTATCAATTGTTTCCTAAAAGGAGTTGAAAAGTTGTTCCCATTTTCTGTTTATTCCCTGTGAGTTTATATAAAGTTGATGGTATTTCTTTCCAACTCGATATAACAATTCAATATTAAAGACATCTGAACTGTAAAGTTTCTTTGTAGGAAGGTTGTTAATAATAAATTCTCTGTGTATGTGTGTACACAAGAGTGTGTGCCTAGGCAAGCAGTCCACCACTCAGTTTGTCCATGGCCCATTCTACTTTGTTTCTTTTCTTTTTTCTTTCTTTCTTTCTGGGTTTTTTTTTTTTTGTTTGTTTGTTTTTTTTAATGTTTTTGGTTGTTGCAGGCTTTCACTACACAGCTCGGACTCCTGGTCCCAGTGCTGTATTACAGGCTTGCACCACTATGGCTGGCCAGACTCTGGCCAGCTCAGCCCAACCTCAGCGTGGGGCTGGTATGGCATGTGGTGCTGCCATTGCACTGCTTGCCTAAGCAGGCGCTTTAGTCCACTGAACTATCTCGCCGGCCTCTATTCTATTTTCTATTTTGAGACAAGGTCCTCTTGAGTTTTCCAGGCTGGCTTACAATTTTTAGTGATCCTGTCTTAGCTTCCCAAGTATTTATTTTTAAAACAAGTATTAAACTTGCAATTTTCTGTTTCCTCTGTTAAGTTTTGTTTTTAAAGATATTTGTTGTTTCATTTTACTGTATTTGTTTACATGGGGTTTCTTTATGATAATTTTCAAGTAAAAACTCTTGTCATTGTTTTAATTTTTTTTTTTTTTTTTCTGAACCAGAGATTGAACTCAGGCCCTTGCGCTTGCCAGTGCTTATTCTACTGAACCATCTCCCTGGCCCAGTAACCATCTTTTGACCTTGCTATTTGAACGTGTGTTCTTAAGTTTAAAAACTAAGAACAAGTTAAGATAGTTTGGGAGGTCAATAATAGGACACAGTAAATCTCTGATTTTTGGTACATGAGCCAAGATGATGTCCAGTGAAAAGATACTAGACATAATTCCATTAGAGTCCGGATAAGATTAAACTACAAGCAATACAGTAATTTCTAGCTGAAACAGATTAAAAAAGAAAAAAGTATTAGATGTCTAGAGATTAGAATAGTGAGAACTGTTATTATTAGGAGATATGCTATACCTGTAAAACTCAAGAAAATCAGCTAATAAATTACTATACATAATAAGATTTAAAAAGTAATGAAAAAAGTGTTATGCAGAAATTACTAGGTGTATAATATTCAGCAGTAGTCTCCTGAAATAGAAAACGAAGACCCTATATATAAAAAAGCTCAAAATATATTTCCAAATAACTAATAAAGAAGTAAGACTACCACAAAAAAATACTAAAAAAATAATTGAATGACACAAATATACCACTTTCAGTGAAACTATACTACTTGTGTTTATATTGGTAGGCTTGGTATAATAAGGATTTTAAATTTCCTAAGTTGTTTACAAATATACTGTGTAATTTTTCTAGTTAAAATATACAATTTTTTAACTAAACAAGATTATAAAGTTTGTGTAGAAAACTACAGATATACAAACAACCAGGAAAACATTGAAAAGGTAGGATTACCCTATCAGATGTCAAAATATGTTTTATAAAGTTTTAAGTATTTAAAATACTAATACTACAACAAGGCTAGTCAGAAGATTGAAAGAGAAGGAAAAGTTCCTAAATAGAACCCAGTCCAAAAAGTTCATAATTAATGTGTTGTCTCCCGGGAAGTGGGGATGGGATTAAAAGATGTTAAAACAATTGATTCACTGTATTAAAATAAAAGATGAGTTAAATGTCACACCATATAACCAGAACAATTACAAATGAATAAAAAATTAAAATTTTAAGACTTGGAGCCTGAGTGATGGCTCAATGGAATAAGTGCTTCCCTGGCAAACGCAAGGGCTGAGTTCAATCCCCAGTCCTGCCTAAATAAATAAATAAAATAAAATTTTAAGAATTGAACCATAAAATTTCTAGAAGGTAGCATCAGAAGATTATCTATATTTGGTCTCAGGTTCAGCCTAATTAATTTACTGGGTTTGCAAGTCCAGAGTGCATAAACAAAAAAATAGTAAATCAAACTGCAGTATTTAAAATAATTCTAAATATTAAAAGACCCAGAACCAAGGTCAAAAGACAAAGGTCAAAAGAGAGAGAGAGAAGATAACATTTTCTAGAGAGTTACAAGGGATTGTTACAAAAGGCCAACAATTCAGTCAACTATACCTGTAAGTATAGTAGTTTCCAGACAAGATAACATAAATGGTTCTTGCTGAGATGGAAAGAGCTTAGACACACTTATTTTAAAAGTAAATCCAATTAAATCCACTGAGAAAAGACTCTTTTTTACTTTTTTAATAATCTGAAAGCTTAAAGTTTTGTTGCAAAGATGATAGGAAGACACAGAAATACTCAAAATGGGAGTGGATATAACACCTATAGAAGATACGTTAGCATAAATAAATTTACATTTAAAAAGTTGTGTACAGTGCAATTAAATATATTTCTTTAAACTTTTTCTTTTTTAATTTGGAAGGGAGGATTACTGTTAAAAGAATATTTAAAATAATTTTGCATTATCTGAAATTTTACTTCCCTTTACTAAAACTGTTTTGATACTATTTATTTATTTATAGCCAGAACCACCAAAGAAGCCATCTAATTGGAGAAGGAAGCATGAAGAATTCATTGCTACCATAAGAGCAGCTAAAGGACTGGATCAAGCACTGAAAGAGGGTGGCAAACTTCCTCCTCCTCCTCCACCTTCTTATGATCCTGGTATATGGAATATTGTTGACAAAAATGTTCATGTGGACATAAAATGATAGAACTTTTTATACAGTCTAGCTTGTTATAAAACACTTTATCATAATGAAACCTGGTGAAGCATAATCTTAAAAGTGGTTTGGTATGAAATAATGGTAATAATATGGGCATTTAATTTTAAAAATTATTTTGTTAACCATTGAGTGCTAACAATCTAGGAAAAACATTGTTTTTTTCAGTACTGGGATGAACCCAAGGCCTCTGCACTGAACTATATCCCAGTCCATGTTTGAATTTTTTATTTTGACATAGAGTTTCCCAGGCTGGGCTCAAGTTTATGATCCTAATTCAGTTTCCCAAGAGTAGTAACATTACATGTGTGCTCCACCATGCTTGCTTCTAGGAAATAGTGTAATCGTGTTCATTGTGGGTTGGGATATAGTCATTCAGTAGAATTCAGATACATTGTCTGATTATTTGGTATCCTTTCATGTGGAAATAAAATATTATTTGTAACATGCACAATTTATGTGTATACACTATGGTGCATATGTGCACATTATCACTTGTTATATTTTCTTCACTGGGCACCTAAAAGATGTATTGTTAATTGCTACCAAAATAAAGCAGAATTCTGATAAATGCATGTGACAGTGAAGTGTATAGATAGACTGAAAATACAGCACAATTGACACTTCACTATTGATTATTAGAACAGCCTAAAGAAATTATTATTTTAATTAATGTAACAAAGTTAGCAATATTAAAATGGAGATATACTCGGATTCATTTTCTAGCAAATAATGCTTTTAAACAAACCTAGATATAATCATTTTAAATATTTTTTTTTTGTAGAAGTTAGCAAGCTTTTGATAAAAGACCACATTGTAAATGTTAGGCTTTGCATTCAATAATCCAGTCAAAGCTATTCAGTTTTTATTGTTGTAGGAAACCATAGGTAACATGTAAATAACAAGGCATAACTCTGTTCCACTAAACATTTATACCAAAACATGTTACAAATGGACTGGATTTGGCCTACAGACTGTAGTTTGCCAACCCCTATTATAGAGTAGTAGAAATTAACTATAATTCTGTTGGTTGTGTCATTTATTTGAGGTCTTTTCTAATGCTTCAAAATTTGGTTCTGTGTTAATTTTGAGATGTAATTTTAGAAGAAATTTTCTTTATCTGTAGCTGCATTTAGGGAATGTATTTTATCTTGGAAATGTTCCCTGTTTCATCAATCTGAATTAAATATGTTAATGAAGTTTTACTTTTTAAAATCACTTCATCCATCTGTTTTGGCTTCCAAGACAAAATAAAATTGTTCAAAGTCCATTAAGCTATTTCTTGATGGATTTCTCTCTAATTGAAGTAAGAAATTTTATAGATGAAGCCATACTGTAAGTTGCGTATTAATGTGATGTTACTGTTTAACCTACTATATAAAATTTGCACTTGTAATGAAAGCAGATGATATTATAGAGACAAATGTTAATTTTCTTCCACCTGTTTTATACTGAGAATTTATTTTGTTCTTTTTTCCCTCAGTTTTCCTTAAATTTGACTCACACTCAGATACAATTAAGATTAATTTATTGGACTGTTTTCTTGAATGCTTTACTGTTTAGAAATATTCAGGCTGGATACAATATGGAATTGGGAAATTCTTTTTATCAGATATGATACAGATCTTGAGCTACCATTTATAAAATTGATTTTTTTTATATTTTACTTCATTTTTTTTGTTATTAATTGGTGTTTTCTTTTTTTTTATCTGTTTTAGATTATATTCAGTGTCCATATTGCCAGAGGAGATTCAATGAAAATGCAGCTGATAGGCATATAAATTTTTGTAAAGAACAGGCAGCCCGTATTAGTAATAAAGGCAAATTCTCTGCTGATACCAAAGGAAAACCAACTACTAGGACACAGGTAAAACACAGAATTTTAGTTATTTCTACAAATAAATGAAAACATGATGTTTTTCAGTTTGATTATGTATGTGCCTTATAGAACATAAAACTTTATATTTCTCATTGCTAAAATTGATGTATTAGTTTTAAGAAATTTAGTAAGAACTGTAAGTGGCTAATTGAAAAACTTTTAAAACTACCTGATATAAGGACTGGGGAGATAGCTCAGTGGCATAAATGCCTGGCTGGCAAGTGTAAGGTCCCAAGCTCTAGCCCTGGTACCACAATTGAAAAAAGAAAAATTATAAAACTACCTGATATAAAAAGTTAATAGAGACTTGCAGAATATACTGAATTAAAGAATAATAAAGGGAAAGATGGATTGGACCATATTCAGAGGAAACTCAGAATTGTTTAAAGATTGAGAAAGGTGCAATGAAAGTCAGTTTGAAAGATCACATGAGTATTATAGATATTTCTATATTATACACAAGAAATACATAAATATGTAATGAACTTGGGGGAGGGAAAACCTGTGTTAAGTCCTGATTGCTGTATATCATTTGTGAAATGATAATCTTCGTAATATTTGTGAGAAGTAAATGAACGTATTTATGAAAGTACTTATAAAACTTTTATAAATATTGGTAAATTTTCGTGGTACTATTATTTTTCTGTAAACATACTGTTAAACAGAAACATTGATCATATAGACTGTGAGACAGATTTCTGTTTTGACAAAGCTTTCATTTTGAGCAGGAGTTTTTCCTCTTTTGAGTAAGGGTTTCTGTGTGTTCCCCAAGCTTCTGGAAACTCCTGGGCTCCAGACATACTACTGTCAGCCCTTCAAGTAGCTGGGGACCTGTGGGTGCACCAGAGCTCACAGCGTTAGCAACTTGGTTTTAAGTGTTGTAAATCTAGTATACAGGAAATAAATCAAGGCCATAGCTCTTATTATTTGTTAGTCAAATGTTGGCTCAAAAGACCCCAATATATTAGGGGTCTTTTTGAGAAAATTCTAGTATGGAATTTTTAAAATATCAAAAATAAACCATATCATCTTCATCATCATCATTATGAAAAAAAATAGTTTTGTTGTAAAGATTTTTCTTTGCCTACTAGTTTAGTAGTAGTTTTTCAACTTTAGTTGAAAAGCAGTTGAATAATGCATTTGGCTTTATTTCAGGACAAACTTTTTTTTCATCAGTGTATATGTCTGTCCTTTAGCCAATGTCGTATTACCAATATACTAAAGATTCTGCCATAACAATTCTAAGAATCAGACAATTGAAATTCTCCTGTTTGTTTTTCCTTTCCAAAAAATGGCCAGGCCAGTCTAAGTTGCTTACATTTATATTTTACAGTTGTTAATAAAAGCTACTAGATTTGACAGTGATGAACTTTGTGTATAAGTCAGTATGTGAAGAATAAGCATCTTAAAGTTGGCTAGTTCATAAACTTTGTTATATTTCTTACTTATTTAGTGTTTCTTTGATTTATTGTCTTTTTAATATATAGCTCATGCCCATATTTTGCTATATTTAACTTGCTTAGAATTTTTTTTCTATGTACAAAATCAAGTCACATATAAATAAGAACAGTTTTAGTTTTCATTCACTAGTCTGTATGCCTTTTGCTGTGTTTATGATTTATTGGTAACACCCATTCATTATTATAATAAGTACCTAGGATAATTAGCTTAAAAAGGAGAGTATTGTTCACTCAGTTTTGGGAATTTCTAGCTGTGACCAGTTGGGCCCTTTACTTTGCATCTGTGGGGCATAGTGCATGCATCTTGGCCAGAACAAGTGGTGGATGAATCCTGTTCACCTCATGGCTGAGTACAAAAAAGAGGGCTAGATACCTCATGACCCCTTCAAGGGCACACCCCTGTGGGCTAGCCTTGCACTTGGCACATATCTTAAAGATCCCCATACAGCGTAAGCTGGAGATCAAACCTTAACATCTGGGCCTTCTGGGCACATCCACATCCCAACTGCAGCAGTTGTATGTGGCTCTTTCCATACATTGTTAAGTAGAAATATTGAGCATGTAAATCTTTGTTTAGATTCTGTTCTTCAGTAGAAAGCATTCAGTTTTTCGCTATCAATTTTGCTGTTAGCTCTGAGTTTTTATTTTTGTACTTTATGGGCTTTGAAAGTTCTCTTCTTATATGATCTGAAGAGAAACCAGAGTATGAAAGTTCTCTTCTTTACTGAGATTTTCTTTTTTCCTTTTTTGCTTTTTTTTTTTTTTCCTCAAGCAGGGCTTGAATTCAGGCCCTTATACTTACCAGGGAAGCACTTATTATACTGAGCCATCTCCCCAGCCCTTGAGTTTTTCTTTTAAACCGCAGAGAGATTTGACTCTTGTTGAATGTTCTTTTTAACCTATTCATAATTCACATTAATGTGATAACCAACATTAATACATAGAACAAAGCAGTAATAATAAGTTGTACTGATTTATAGATGTTAAATTTTGCTTTCCATGAATGAATTTTGCTTAATAATCAATTATCCTTTTTATATTTTTGGACTTGATATGCTAAAATTTTGTTAAGAAATTTTCATCTTTTTTCTTGAGGAAAGTTAGTATATAGTTTGACCGATTTGGTATCAGAATTTTACTCGTCTCAGTGATATCACTGTGATTTTCTCTTTTTCTATAGCATATTATTTTTTTCCTAGAATTCAGTTAAGACTCTACCCATAAAGTTTTCATTTTTTGAGGTTTTAGATTATTACATAAATTTATTTATTAGCTGTATCATTTAAATGCTGCTAGATTTTTATATTATTTTTCCAGCCTGTGTATTTTAAGTAAAATCATCAATGGGGTTGAATTTATTGACTTTTAGAGTAGTGTTATCATTCTTTGGCTGTAGAATTTGTGCTGATACCCTCTTTTTCATTGTGAATACTAATATTTTGTCTTCCTTTTTTTCCCTTCTAAGTAAATTTTATTTTTAATTTAAAATTTTCAATTTAATGTTTTATAAAATTTCTGCCATTATCATTCTAACTACTCTAGTTGGTAAATTTTATTACATTTTTCCAAATAAAGTGTTTTGATTCATTGGTCAAATATTGCTGTAACTATTTTACAAAAAAAAGTTTCATTTTTACTTATAGATAATGGGATGTTTCTCATTGTTTTACTCTTATTTTTAATTTAATGCTGTTGTAGTCTGAGCACATAGTTGACAAGGTTTTCATCTTCCTGAAATTTGTTTTATTGCCTAGCATGTGGTCTCCTTTTGGTGGAGGCACCAGGCAAGAAAACGTGTCTTCTGCAGTCGTTTTCTAAGTGGCTGCTTCTAACTTATGACTTCCAGGTGGCTTTTCCTCTAGCTATTCTATCATCACTGAGGGAGTTTTGTAAATGCCAGCTGAAAGTGGCTGATTCTGGCTGTTTTTGCTAGATGTCCCCTCAATCCCTGAAGGAAGTGTATTCAAGTGAACAACTGTGATTGTGTTTTTTTCCGTATCTCTTGTTTTCCACTTTTACTTTAAGCAGTTTGAGTATCTTTTAGTGTTTCTATTTGCAATTTGTTATATTTGAACCATTTATTATCCTTTTATCCTTATAAAGTATCACTTTTGTGGCAAAATTCCTTTTGTTAAAATGTTTAATCTGGTAAGAACATAGTCATTTCAATTTAATTATATGCACTTATTTTCTTTCTTTAAGTATGTTTTTGTGTAGCCTATAGACCAGCCTATAATTGATTCATGTTTCATTTTTTATAATCCAGTCTGGCAACCACAGCTTTTTGCTTGAAGTGTTTAGACATTATCCATTCTTTCTCTTGGTAGGTTGTGTATTAGCCTGTCATGTTGCTCTCCTCAGTTTTTGTGTACATATATATGATTCTTCTGTTTTTTCTTTTTCATAATAGATCTTTTTCCTATTGGCTATATAATGGTTAAATTTTCTGTTAGTCTAAAAGCAACATGTATCATTTTTGTCAAGTATATGTCATATATTCCTGTTTCTTCACTAGTACTTTTTGGTTAAAAGTTTGATATTAAAAATAAATCAAACCAGGATTCTGTTTCTTCTGTGAGATGGTATCTCTTTATTTTTAATGATAAGAAGTCATCTTAGACAGTTAAACCTAGAGGATATAGTTGCAAATCTTCTATGCTTCCTAGTCTTCTAATATTTTCTTAAATCTTATAGATATCTGTCAGAGGGTTATATGGACACTTCACCTCTGCAAGGATTTGTGTTGTGTCACTGTTTTTATTTTCAAGAAGTTTTTTATTTTTCTACTTTCCTAATTCTTAATTTGTTATAATTTAATATTTTCATATCTACCATTTAAAAATATAGTAGACATAATTGTTTATAGTATATCAGGTGACCTTGACAGATAGGTTCCTGCTATCTTTTGTTTTCTTTCATATTTTGTTATATACTATGTCTACAATTAGCAAGTACTGTTTTCTGCTTATTACTCCAAGAAAATTATTTATGATGATTTTTCATGTGAGTTACTTTTTTCTGGAGAAGTTTGTACTTGTTTATGCCAGGTAACAAAGAGTACTGTCTGTCTGAAAAAAGTTAAATTATTGGTGTTTGTTTGCTTGATTTTCCTTATGCAGAAAATCCATGTGATGGCCAGGTAGTTATTATAATTTCAAAAGGAGTTGACCTGGCAATTTCTTTTTGTGTCTTCTAACATTCGATGTTTTTAAAATGATTTTTAAATATATTTTTAACACACTTTGTTCTAGAATTCTGAGCCTTTTTCATTAAAAGATTGATTCAGAAAGCTCATTCAATAATTTTGACAGAAATAAGCTTTTTTCTCTTTCAGTAAAAATTGTTTACAAAAATATTTACTTGTATCTTAACCATTTTTAAGTGTACAAATCCATAATAATAATATAGTGTAGTGTGAAAGAACCACCACGCTCCATCTCCATGGCTGTTCTTGTGAAATTAAAGTTCTGTATTTGAAGAATGTAAGGCTTTGAATTTTTAATTACAATCTGTGCTCAGAAATTATACTGATAAAATACTTTTTTTGTTATTATTTTAGTATAAACCACCTGCACTTAAAAAGTCAAACTCTCCTGGGACCACATCGTCAGGATCTTCACGATTACCGCAACCAAGTGGCACTAGCAAAACTGTTGTAGGTAATGAAATCCATAAAATAACTTAAAAAAGAAAAATCGCTTGCCAGTAACAAAGAAAGTGGTCTAATTTGGGTTATTAAAATAAATTTTAAAAGAAATGGAGGTTAATAATTATTTCTGAGTAACAGTGAAATAAGTATCAAAAGCTTCCATTTCAAATATTTGGTTGTAGTTTTGCTTTTGTTTTGCCTAAACATCTACTTTTATGTTTGTGTTAATTTATCATGTAGTTAGAATAGTTGACACATGTCAGAATTTTCTCTATTGACTTTGTATACCTAAATTTGACAGTTATTCATAATAGGAACATATTTAATGGATTGAAGAAGTTGTCCATTAAAATGTGCTTTCACTTGTGTGTAAATTATAAAATAAGCATAGAAATATATTGTTCCTTAGAAATACCATTTTTAAAGAGTTTAATTTTAGAATTTTGAAACCATGAAAAGCACTATTAAAAAACTGTTTCTCTTTCAGATGCTCTATTTTTCATATAAATTTTTTCAGAGTATTCTTAAAGTTGTTGCCTTTTTTATTATAAGGTGTGTCTTCAGGTAAAGTGTCTTCAGTTAGCAGTTCTTTGGGAAACAAACTTCAGACCCTGTCTCCTTCTCATAAAGCGGTGGCAGCACCTCAGGCAGGGTAAGTCTACACTGAATAACTTACTACTGGATACGTTTAAATGTTATTAACATTTAATTTTGTTTGATGTAACTGGCCTTTTTATTAAGCTTCATTTTCTTTCTAAGTTCTTTAGGGGTTTTTTTGTTTGTTTTTTTAACATATTGTTGGGCAGGACCACACTCATTGCTATTGAAAATCTAAATTAATGCAGCCATTTTAAAAAATGATTCAGTATAATTTATTATGAGCCTATTGTATATATTCTTGTTTTTGATCGAATAATTTTATTTCTGGGAATCTTAGAAAATAATGTGAAATACAGAAGTTTTTGTAATAACTACAATTTATTGACTGTTATATACCAAGCTAGCACTAGATATTTTACATGCATTTTTGTTAAAAGTACTGGGGAACTATAAAATAACAGAATCAGAGGGGTAAGATAATTTGTTCAAAGCCACATTAGCTGCTAACGGAAGCAAGGCATATTTGAGACCTATTTAACTAGAAACTTTGAACTCTTACCTGTTTTTTTGTATTCTAAATAAATCATCTGAGTGTCTAACTTTGAGTAGTAAATTATGACTATCTACGAAAATATATTTTATAATCGTAAAAATATAAATAAACTTTAATGAGATGATTCTGCTCTTAGAAGAGAAAAAATATAGGACACAAAACTCCATGTATAATATGATATAGTATGATGAAAACGTCAAACTTACGGGAAAAAAAGGGCAATCAAATATGCTATAGTATTAATAGTGGGTAATTATTTTCCTTTTGCCTAATACATTTTATGCTTTCCTTTTTTCTAGACTTTATGGATATGCCTTTTAGTGTAACAAACTTTCAATACCAAAACCTGTTGGTGACATTGGAGAGTATAGTATAAAGTCGCCTGTTTTTTACAAATGCACTTTCTATTTTATTGAATCAGAAAATTAAGAGATTTACATAGGAACACTAAAATTAGGGATTATAGGGCCATAGATCCTGAGTTAGATTCCTGGCACAAAAAAAAATTAAAATTATGGATTATAATAATATCTTTTGATAAGCTGATATAGTTACAGTATACATCATTTGCAGGTATAATTTATCTCTGGTTCATATTTACTTTGTTTTTCAATTAGAAATATATGAAAGGGTATTTATATAGGCCAGGTGAGATACCTCAGCTGATTAAGTGCCTGCTTAGGCAAGCGCAGGGACCAGGGTTCGATCCCTGATACCATATGCCATGCTAGCCCCACCCCCATTGCTCTGAGCCAGCCCTAGGGATGGTGGCACATGCCTGTAATCCCAGGGCTGGGGAGGCTGAAACAGGAGGGTTACTGTGAGTCCAAGCTGTGTAATGCGACCCTGTACCAAATACATAAATAAATAATAAGTAGGCATTTATCAAGTGACATTAATTACCTTTTTTTCTCAGTTCAGACTGCATAGAAAATTCAATAATCATATTTGCTTTCTTTGCTAGTTTGTTAAACTTTTGTGATGCCAGAGATAGTAGTATTATAGATGGAACTATTAAAATTTAGCAGAATATCTCACATATAATTACACATTAAGTGAAATAAGTGAAAAATAAATTAATAAATTAAATCCCTCACCTGTACATCTGTTGGCACATCATTTTATGGTCTCAGTGAGAATAAAATTACTTCAAGTTTTTGTGGAAACTATATTTTTCATTTAGAGAGTTAATTTAACATTGAATAAAGAATGGAACTAAGGCATCTAGTTGCCTATAATGTTCAAGAGATTGCATATATGCTAATATTAATAATTGGCCTTAATTCAGTGGCTGGTGATCATTTGAAGCCTGGTATATATAGCATAATATGGTTCACTTTAACCAGGTTTAGAGGTAATCTGTCACAGGTAGTATGTGTTGAATTATGACAGAGGAAAATAAAACATTTCACTTCAAAAAATTCTCATGCTTGGTAATTAAATTCAGAACAGTCTGTGGGCCAACATTTAAAGATTTTTTTTTTCTTAAAGGCAAAGCACACCCCAACGGAAAATGTTTTCTTGTTGTTAAAAATACTTTTCTTTTATCCGAGGGAATTTTAGAAGTGTGATGAAACACTGAGCTTTTACACACTGGAGTTGTATCCCAGAGTTTACACAGTTGAGACTTAAGATTTATGTTTTCTTGACATCAATTTCCACTTTAAATGTGTGTCTCAATATTTTCAGTAGCTGAAATATCACCTTTCAAAGATTTACTTCTATTCAGTTATCCTAAAAAAATGTGTATACTTCAGAGATCAACAGTAATAAATGAGGTAAAATTAGACACAAAATATTTGTCAGATATGTCTTTAATTATAAATTTAATTTTGTTGCTTATACTTTATTTAAAAATCAAGGAATGTGCATTTTGTATAAGTAGAAATATGCTTTTTTTGAAAAGCTAATCTTTTGATGGTATGAGTCATGTATACGTGGTGCATTATTTAGGTTTTTATGAACTTTCCTGCCTTATTGATCTAGATGTACCTTAAGCAACTTGTAATTCCAGAAGGTAGCTTCTCTCATGTAGATAAAATTGTTTTGTTAGGGAGCTATTTTTGCTTCAGAATTGAAATACTGAATTATCCATGACAGATAGATGGCTTTCAGCTCAAAATATGTGACTAAAACTTTGAGACCCTCAGACCATTGTGAATGTAGAAGTCCACAGAGATATATAAAATGCCATGTGGTAAAATTTTTCACCAAAAATTAAGTCAGCTTTTTATTATATCTCAATTTACTGTGCTTGCTACAATATTACAACATACTTTGTGAGCAAAAATGCCTTGTCTCCTAAGTGAATTGATTCTTATGGTTTAAAGTAAGTTAAATCTATTAGGAATAGATTAATACAATTGCCAAAGATTTCTTAAAATGATCAGTCATGAATATTTTGGCAGCCTGCAGAGAAGTATAATGTACAGTCTTCGTTACTGAGATTTATAAATGTTGGTTTCGTTACATAGCCTATTGGTAGAAGACTATAGCAAAAAATAAATTTAAGTGATTTTTTTATCTCAATGATCATTTAGTAAACATTTAAATAGTGTGTTTGTGTATGTGTGTACTTATATATACTTTAAATAAATCATCATCAGAACCTTAGCTAAGTTTTCAGGGTCTGAAAATATTGGCAGTTCTATATATGTAATATATGTACTTTTTCCTCAGCATACCATTAAATTTCTATTAGATTCTACACATTTACTTTCTTAGACTTTTTTTGTTTCATATGTGGAACTGAAACCTAAGTACTTCTTACCATATTAAAATAATCTATTTATAACTTTAAATATAACTTTAAAATGTAATTTAAACTTTTCTTTTTTTTTTTTTTTTTTTTTTTTTTTGTGGAACCGGGGATTGAACTCAGGCCCTTGAGCTTACTCAGGCCTTTGTGGTGCTACAGATTGATCCTAGGGCCTGTACATACTAAGCTGAAATTTTCTAAATTTTAATTTTACTTTTTCTGAGAAAGAAGAATCTTTGGTTCCTTATGCACAGACCATAGATACTCTTTTCAAAATAATTGTTTGGACAGTAATACTTTGGTAATTATTTAATGATTAAAAGACAAATTTGGGGCTGGGGAGACAGCTCAGCGGTTTAAGCACTTGTCTGGCAAATGCAAGGTTCTGAGCTCTATCTCCATTACCATAAAAAAGATATATTTTATTAAAATTTCGCATCTTCCACAAATTAAAAAAAAATTTCATCTCAGATTTCTTAGAGATTATGAAACAATTTTTAATCCTTAGTATGAATATACTCCTTATGCTTTTGCATTGAAATACATCCTATACATAGGCTACTTAAAATCATGCCGACAAGCATAATGTATTCTTCCACTGAAACCCAAAGAATGAACTTTTTTTAGATGCTGAATTCCATAAGATCAAGCATCATGATTGTCTAATTTCCCAGTGCTCCAGAAATCAACAGTGTTTGATTCATAATGTAGTAGATCCGCCAACTCCAAACCCCAGCACACTGAGCCAGCCACCAAGTCTGGGCACTGTGGCACATGCCTGTAATCCCAGCGCTGGGGAGACTGAAAACACGGGAATCACTACAAGTCCAAGCTGTGTAGTGAGACCCTGTACTAAATACATAAAAAATTAACAAAAAAATATAATAGATCCTCAGGTTTACTTGATAAATGAAAACTTCTTAGATTAGTGAATGAGTGAAAAAATGAGTATATTTCTTTGAGGGAAGAAGATGAATATGAAAAAGAAATTAAGATATATACTTGTACCAGCTTCCCATGATGAATATAATCATTACTGCAACTGTATACTAATAAAATTTTTAAAATTTAAAAAGAATGCACATTTAAAGTTAAGCACTAATGTATTATCATCATTTAAGATAGTTTTTCTAATAATCTTATTAAAATTTTCTTGTCCTAGCCATGGGTAGTGATGGATTATAGAATTCAGTGCTTTGCTTTGTGTAAAACCATTAATTATCCTGCAAACCTGTAGTTTGTCCTGTTATCCTGTAGGTGGAGAGTCTGCATACTTTTAGGTTTCAAAAATAAAAAAGAAAGAAAATAATTTCACATTGTGTAGTTAACATTTTACAAATGAGTCTTAGAACTACCATCCCTGCTTTTCTTTTCCTCTTGTAGATAATGTTTTACTTTTCAGAAATAAATCAGTCTTTTTTGTTCAGTGGGTATAAATTCAACCTAAATGATTAAGGTATATTATTCTGTTCTTATTTTATATTTTCAATTGTAAAATGCAAGGAAATTTATACCATAAAATAATATAGAAAAAGTTATATCAATGTAGGGAAGAGGAAAAGTTAGATTATGATTAATAACTTTCAGTTTATGTCTTCCTTTTAAACCATTGTTTGAGGGACCAGGGAGATGGCTTAGTGAATAAGCGCTTCCCTGGCAAGCACAAGGGCCTGAGTTCAATCCCTGGTTCCACCAAAAAAAAAACCCACAAAACAAAAATAAGCCATTGTTTGCTTTCCTAATTTTCCTGTTGTGTCAGAGTCTAATAATGAACATTGCACAAATTCTCTCGAATTCTTTTTGACTTTTGTTTTCACTTTGCAGTGAGATGATTATGGGATGGGGTGGATTTCTTTTGAAACAGAATTATCTTTTTCTTTAAAAAAATATTTATATTAAAAAACAAACACTAGCAATCTCCTTATGGGTACACCTTTATATATTTTAATAGTAAGATGGACAAGTTAGGCCCTCCACTTCGAACTGGAAGACATGTGCAAAGGTTGTATGACAGTGATACAAAGTCAGACAGTGCCTTCAAAAGACATGAGTTATTACCCATTTACAAGTAAGTATTTGAAATTCAGTTTGGTTAAAGTTTTTCATCTATTTTCTTAAGACTTTGCATAATAAAATAGTTTTACTTTGTACTTAAAAATTAGTTTTAACTTCACAGTTCTAAGCTGGAAATTCCTGAAAACCATTTTAGAATTTGAAACATTTTTATTAGTATTTCTAAGAGCGACTATTTAGATCTTACATTTAATTCCATTAAATGATAATTTGTGGAGGGTTTAGTAGCGTTCTCCTTCACAGTTGTTTTTAGATCACTTTTTTTATTTCTTTGTAAAATAATAATTTTGCAAAAGAAGAGTATAAGAAATTTATGTCATGTACAATACTTAAATTACTAATTATCTATTAGTCAAGCAGATAATTAATACAGTGAGAAAAATATAGAAAACTTTCAATTGCAATCAGTCTTTTTGTTCAGTGGGTATAAATTCAACCTAAAACAAGGAAAAGGCATGACACTGCTAGACCTTCTTCTGTGTTCTGGCATAGCTGACTAGGGGGTGAATATAGCAGTGACAGTCAGGTTTGAAACCACAGCATGAGTCTACAAGGTTTACTAATTTGAGCTTAATTTCAAGTCTTACCGTAATTTTAAGTGATAACATGAGGGTGTTATATATTAATTTACTTCCTAATGTTGAAAAATATATAAAACAGTTAGCATAATTTTAAACCACTATACTTTCTGTTTATTATTTGTATATGAAAATATATAATAAAAATAGGGAAAATCTTTTTTTTTTTTTTTGTGGAACTGGGGATTGAACTCAGGCCCTTGCGCTTGCCAGGGAAGCATTTACTGCACTGAGCCATCTCTCCGGCCCACTAGAAAAATCTTTAAAATAGCAGCAAATGTGGTTTTTTTGTTTGTTTGGTTGGTTGGTTTTTTTAACTAATTAATGAATCCTAAAAGACAGATTGTTGTGTCATGAATCATTTACCTGTGTACTAGTACTACTATCCCTACCCTCCTAACCAGATCTGGAAGAAAAATTCACTAGCAGTAAGCTAAAGTATTAGTTCTACTGTTAAGCCATGATATATTGTTTGTCTGAAGTATAAACAAATTCCAGATATCGAATTAGATAACACTTTGCCTACGTGAGGCTAGGGGAACATGTTTTGAATATTGATCAAAACACACTAAAAACAACTGATACACATTTACTATCATAAGTGCTGTTCATAATCTTTTAAATTTTCCTTTAAATTTAAATATTTTAAACAACTTTAAAATATTGATATGGTGAGATTGTATAGATATACTTAAGGATCTGTGAATTTCATGTGTATTTCTTGAGCATGTAAGATTATATGAAGGTGATCAGCTATCTAACAAGACTTCCAGAGCCTGAAAAAAATTCTCTTCCTTTATCAATAAGTTTGTTAACAATGATTTTTGTGTTGTTTTTTTTTTTCTTTTTTGAAAGATACTGAATTCCCAGAAAGTGCTATAGTAGTGTGCAACATCTTTAGATAGGCTGTAGGAAAGCAGAGTAGAGTAAACATCAGAAACAGGCACAGAATGAGCATTTGAAGAGGGTCAGAGCATCTGATCTGTGCACCAACATGATTCTTTACTTGTTGCAGTAACCACTCAAAGTGTATATTTTGTGAATGTGAGCATTGCATGATGAATATGAGATTTATAATAGCTCACAGAAATTCAAATGTAAGTACTTATCTATCACATGCAAGCTCTTCAATTTAAAAAACATCTCTGAGCATGTGTTTCTTCAAATGGCTTAGAACTGTGCTCTCATAGTCCAGCTACTAATAAAGCTGAGTTCAAAGGAACATTTTGAGCCCAGGAGTTCAAGACCAACCAGAGCAACATAGACTCTGTGTCAAAAAAAAAAAAAAGAAAAAAAAAAGAAAGAAAGAAAGCAAAGAAAACAAAAAAGAACAGAAAAAAAAAGCCTTCAATTTTGAAATAGGAATAATGTCTCCTGATTTGGGGGCAAGCAATGTATGTGTACTACCTGGCTTCATATTTTGGCATGTAGTGAATATTTGAAAAATAGTTATTGTCTATAATTATATTAGAAATTATTTAAAATTCTAGGAGAGTCTGTCTTTACTATTTAGTATGAAAACTTTTGGCCAAAACTTAAGAATTTCTAAATATTTTAAAGTATTATATCTGTTTATATAATGCAACATTGCTTATATGTGAAAGAAAAAGATTTCACTAACTCCTAAAGAAAGGGAGGGAACTCATGTTTTATTGAACATCTGAACCTTGCCATTTGCAACCGTCAGCCTGGTAAGTTTTGTCTCATTCGCCTCATCTGATGAATGGAATTATTAACACTTACCTATTTCATATAATAATTAGGATTAAGTAAATTTAATATGAAGAACAATAAAAATGTATTTGACATATACTAAGAACTGTTATGAAATATTATAGTAGCAGTAACAGTAGCAGCAGCAACACTAGTGCTGTTACTGTAAGTGTATTTCATAACCTTCAAAGAAGATAAAGTGATCATTTTGTCAATGAGGGAACTCAGACTCAGGTAGACAGCTATCACAGAGCTAGTCAGTAACAGTGGGAATTTGAATCTAGACCTACATACATCTCAGTGATACATCATCACTCAACTTTGCATGATTCCTAAAGTTTTAAAATGGGAATTCTTTGATGACCCAACCACATCTTCCTAGTACCATATAACTATAGATAGCTGTGCAGTTGAAGAAATTAAATATTTAAAGGGGAAACTAATAATTCATTTAATTATTTTTTCAAATAACTTTCATAAATTGAATATTGTCTTTTAAAATGGTGACCTTATTTTTAACAATATTGCTTATAACAGTAAAGAAACTAAAATATATTGTGCAACAGTTATTGATAGATGTTGGGTTAAATAAATCTGTATTTTGATGGGCTATAAATTTAGAGTTTTAACTTGAAGCCTTTAAGAATGGTTACTTTATGCAATGTGTTAATTATTGAAACTGTCCTACCAATTTGATTTGAAACTGTCTCATTGCTATTTGTCTCTCAATAAAATTATGGAAAAAATTAAAAAAAGAATGGTTACTTTAAATTTCATGTAAAATATGTAAATATCTTAATTGATTTTTATACAAAAGGATAATATTAATGTAAAATACTTTACCTGTAGTATTAACTACTACTTGTTTTCAAACTTAAAATATTTGGAATTTAATCTGTCAAAACTTCTCTATAGCCTCTTGATCATGTAAATAGGTAACTTAAAAAAATCAGTGCTTATATTCAGTGTTTTCTCATCTTATCATTTCTTTCTTCTTTCTAGAACTAACATCAAACCTCGAAATTCCACACCCCCCAGTTTGTCAAGAAATGCTGCAGCAGGTGTATTTATAGCCAAGAAAAAAACACATACTGACAGCTACATAGCTAGGTATGTTTACCTGTTTTATCCTATCCTAGTAACTAAAATAAAGCTGAATATATGTAGTTTCCTGAGTCTCATATACCAAAATTAGGTAATGAACTATTCATAGATAATCTGATTCTCCCTCACTCTACAATGAATATAACTTTAAGTTATGCAAATTAAGTATTTCCTTTACTATGTAGTTATAACTAGTTATAAATGCTCAAAGGTAATTTCTTCAGTTACACAAACTTTATATGGATAGTTATACCTTAAGTTTAAATGTAACAATATTTTCATCTCTACAAATAAAATGATTGATTCTATGAATCACTTGCCATTATAATCTTCAGCATATTTTTAATATTTAAACCTATTCTCTGAGGTGATGGATATTCTAATCTATCATGATACTTTCTCACTTATGCCATTTACTGTTTTTAAATCTATAATTCCCCGGGGGGAATGTATATATATCCTTGTTATTAAAAGTTTTACAACAAGGTACATAAATCCATGCAGTAAAGTAAGATACAGGAACTCTTTTAGTGGAAGAATTGACAGAAATGGAAAGTTTAGAATTAAAATCATCCAAAAAAACAAAGAAATACTTAGGTATTAATTGAACAAAACATTTAAAAGATCTCTACATTGAAAATTACAGTAGCCCAAAAGAGATTAAGGAGGATATCAGAAAATGAAGAGGTAGTCCTTGATTTCCTATATGAAGAACCAACAAAATAAAAATGGTCATACTCCCAAAACTGCTCTATAGATTTAATTCAAGCCCAATGAAAACAATATCAACATGCCTTATATACCTACAGAAAACATTCCTGAAATTCATTGGGAACCTGAAAAAAAAAAAAAAAAGGCAAAGCCTGGAATCCTAAAAGCAGTTCTTGACAACAAAAGTAATTAGGGAGCATCACAGTCTCAGAACTGAAATTGCACTACTGACCTACTGTGATAAAATCACCATGGTATTGGGGGGGGGGGGAAAGGCCCGACATACATTGGAACAGAATAAAAGGTGAAGATGCATCATCAACACATTCAGCCACCTTATCTTTAACAGAGGAGTCAACCCAATTCCCTGGAAGAACGGTAGCCTTTTTAATAAATGGTGCTAGAAAAACTGTCTTTCCACACGATAAAGACTAAAGCTAGACCTCTATCTATCACCATGCACTCAACTAAAGTCAAAATGAATCAGGGATCTAAATTTTAGAATAGAAATACCAGGGCCAGTGAGATAGCTCCACAGACTAAGCACCTACCTTGGAGAGCACAGGGACTGGGTTCAATCCCTGGCCCCACATGCCTCACTGCAGGCCCTGCCCCTGGTGCGCACTGAGCTGGAGCCCAGGTCTGGGCATAGTGGTGCACACCTGTAATCCCAGCACTGAGGAGGCTGAAAACAGGATTACTACGAGAGTGAGCTGAATAGTGAGACCCTATACCAAATACCTAAAATAGGGGGGAAAATAGAATAGATACACTAAATCTACTGTAAGAGAAAGTAAAGTCTTGAAGACATATGAGTATGCAGAGACCTCATGAACAAACCCAGACCGCAAGGAAAGTGGTTAAAGAATCAACAGATGGGATCTCACCTTAACTGAAAAGCTTTTGCATGACATAAGAAGTCACCAAGAAAGTGAAAAGACAACTCACAGAGCGGAAAACATTATAGCCAGTTTTTCTATAGACAAAGGACTTAAATGCAACACATACGAAGAATTGAAAACAGTCAGTCCCCCTAAATTCAAAGACCCAATCCAGAAGTGAGCATCATAGATGCATAGGCTCTTCTCAGATGCAGAAATACAAATGAAAAATAAATACATGAAAAAAGTTCAACATCATTGGTCATTTGATAGATGCAAATTAAAACAACACTGAGATTCCATCTCACCCCAGAAAGAATAGCTATCATCAAAAAATCTATTGATGACATGCTGGAATGGTTGTAGGGAAAAAGGAACCCTTCACCTTTGGTGGGATGTAGACTGGTACAACCGCTGTAGAAAACAGTGTGGAGATTCTTCAAAAAAACTGGGAGTGGAGGTCTCATTTGACCCATCTATTCCCCTTCTGTGTATTTCCCAGAAGAATTACAAACATCATATCATGGTGATATATGTGTACCGTGGTTTTATAGTAGCACCATTTGTAAGAGCTAAGTCTTAAAAACAGTCCTCATGTCCATCAACCAAACAAGGATGAAAAACATGTATTTTTTTCCTTTTTTTTTTTTTTTTTTTTTTTTTGGTGGAACTGGGAATTGAACTCAGGTCCTTGGGCTTGCAACATGTATTTTTTTTAATACAGTGGTATACTACTGTATTAAAAAACTAAGAAGGTTAAAATGTTGTCTTTCATAGGTAAATGGATGCAACTTGAGACCATACTCATAAGTGAAATAAATCAGACCCTTATGTGTGAACATTATATTGTCTCACTACTGTGAAAAAAAAAATGAACAAGTAAATAAGATCCAGAATGTACAATAGATATTGTGAATTGGAAAGAAACTATACAAAAGAAAAGACAAACTGTGATGAAGAAAGGAGAAGTGAAAGGGAAAAAAATATGTATATATTCACAAGATAAGATTGTTATACAGGTAGTTTCTCTTGGTTCATTGAAAAGGAAGTTCTGTGCTAATATTGTATAGTGCAGTTATTATGCCATTATCTTCTAGTCTAAACTACTAGGAAGACAATAATATATAACTCATCAACTGTTGTAACTGTCCTAATAATGTGTTTTGAAACTTGGATTCATTGTTATTTTTATCTTTTTTTAAAACAAAAAACAACTGGGATGGGGGAAAGGAGAAAAAAAGGAAAGAATATAGATGTACAAGATAGCTAAGATAATTGTACTACTAATTTCTATTAGTGAAAAGAACAGTTAATTCTTAATTGTTGAATCAATCTTGCATACCTATGTCTGGAAATCTGAGCAAGTACTTTGAAGATAACAACATGTAATATAACAACCATTGTTACTTTCTTATCATCTTGCTTTAAAATTAGGTATCATTTTTATTGATTTTTGTATTTTTGTTTTGTTTTGGGGGAGTTTAATTCTCTTTGAAATAAAAAATATAAACATGAAAGTACACCAACTGCCAAAAAAAAATATATAACTTTAGTAAAGTCAGTTTATAAAATATGTATCCTGAGACTTTCACTACCAACACACAGAAAAAAATTAGCATAAGTATATTGTTAGAAAGTTTAAAATACAGAAACAAATTAGTTTCTCTGAAAATTAGTATTTAGCATGAGGCCTTAAAAGTTCTTCTATGGATTCCTATAAAAATACCATGTGATATGGTGATTAACTTGGTAACTAACATCCCTACTGTAAATGTTGGAAATAATTTTATAGTTGTTTTCTAAGGATTTCTTCAATGTAGGTCAATAGCATAACATTGTTCCGATCCCCCTGCACCACTTACTGCACCAGCCCCACCCCTGGGTATGCTGAACTGGCCACCGAGACAGACTGGGCATGGTGGTGCACACCTATATATATATATA